TCATTTCTCCCTTTTTTGTCAGGCTACCTTGGGCTCTGGGGTCTTTTGTGGTTCCACATCAATTTCAGTAATGTTTGTTCCATTTCTTTGAAGAATGCCATTGGAATTTTCATTGGAATTGCACTAAACATGTAAATAGCTTTGGGTAGGGTGGCCATTTTGACAATGTTAATTTTTTCAATCCATAAACAGGGAATATCTTTCCATTTCTTTTTGTCTTCTACTTTTTTTTTTAATACTGTCTTCTAGTTTTTTGTTTTTATTTTTTTGTATAGGTCCTTCACTGCTTTTGTTTACTCCTAGGCATTTCATTTCTTTTGGTGTAGTTGTAAATGAGGTGGTTTTCTTCTTTCTTTTCTAGCTTATTGCTTGCATACAAGAAGGCAATTATTTTTCTGTATTACTTTTGTAACCTGCCACTTTGCTGGCTTATTGCTTTAATTAGTTTTTTTCATGGCCTCTTAAGGGTTCTCTCTGTATATTATCATGTTGTCTGCAAATAATAGCTTTACTTCTTTCCAAATTTGGCCTTCTTTTATATCTTTTTTCTTTTCTTTTTTTTTAAAGATTTATTTATTTATTTATACAAGCACTGGGTACAGTCAGAAGCGTGGGAGGGTGAGAGAATTCACCAGAGGCAGAGCGGGGAATAGAACAGGCAGAATGACGAGGTACACTGCTGAGAGGAGCAGCGGGCGGCAGAGGTCTGTCGCACCATGTGGGACCCTCTCGCTGGCGGCCGGAGATTGAACCGGTGCTGCAGAGGCTGCGGGCAGCTTCGCAGCCCAGCACTCAACTGCTGCGCCACCAGGGGTGACCCTATATATCTTTTTTTCTTAATTGCTCTAGATAGAACTTTCAAAACTATGCTCAACAGTAGTGATGAGAATGGACATCCTTGTCTTATCAAAAGGTTGTTAGTTTTTTACCACTGAGAAAGATGCCATTGTGGGTTTATCATATACGACTTCTATTATGTCTTTTATTATGTCCCATTATGACTTTTATTATGTCCCACTTATCCCATTATTCAGGGTTTTCATCATAAATGGATGTTGAATCTTATCAAATGCTGTCTTGGCATCTACTGAAATAATCATATGGCTTTTATCTTTCATTTTGTTGATGTGGTGAATTATGTTGGTTTTCACAGGTTTAACCATCTTGGTGTCCCTAGGTATAAATTTCATTTGGTCATGACACATAATCCTTATAATGCATTGTTAGATTTGGTTTCCCAAAATTTTATTGATGATTTTTGAGTCTGTTTTCACTAGGGAGACTGGTCTATAGTTTTCTTTTTGTGTGTTGTCTTTGTTTGGTTTTGGTAGTAATGTTGGTTTCTTAATGTATAATTTGAAGTATTCTTTCCTTCTCAATTTTTTTAAAGAGTTTGAGCAAGATAGTTGTTAATTCATCATTCAATGTTTGGTGGAACTCACTTGTGACTCATTCTGGTCCTGGACTTCTGTTTTTGGGAGTGCTTCGACTACTGTTTCAATTTCCTTGCCTGTGATTTGTTTGTTCAGTTTTCCTGTTTCTTCTCTATTTAGCCTTGAATGATTGCATAATTCTAAGAATCTGTCCATCTCATCCAGACTTTTGACCGTGTTTGGATATATGTTAGAGAAATCTCTTATTACCTCTGAATGTCTGCAGTGACTTTTGTAACTTCTCCTCTTTCATTTTTGAATCTGTTTAAGTTTTCCCCCTTTTTTCTTAGTGAGCCTTGCTAGAGATTTGTTGTCTATGTTGTTTATTTTTTCAAAGAAGCAGGTTTTGGTTTTATTTATTGATCTTTTAGACTTGTCTTTTTTATTTCTATTTATTTATGTTCTAATTTTTATTATTTCCTGTCTTCTGACTTTTTTTTTTTTTGGTGCTTCTTTTTCTAATTCATTCAAATGAGAAACTTGGTTGTTAATTTGGCCTCTTTCTTGTCTTTATGTCAACCTGTATTGTGATATGCTTCCCTTTTATTAGTGCTTCTGCTGTGTCGAGTAAGTTCTGGAAGGTTGTATTGTCATTATCAATTGTCTCAAAGTATTTTTTAAATTTCTTTGATTCAGTGATCTATTAGTAGAGTGCTGTTCAGTCTCCACATATGAGAGGACTTCCCTGCTTTCTTTTTATAGTTGATTTCTACTTTGACACCTTATGGTCAGAAAGGATTTCAATCTTTGTGAATTTGTTGATACTTACATTATGAACCAATATGTGATCAATCCTGGAGAATGACCCTTGTGTATTTGAGAAAAGAGTGTATTTGGCTTTGGGGGGTGCAGTGCCTTACAACTATTAGATCTATTTTATCTATTAGTAATTCTTTGTTAATGACTGTGTCCCTATTTATTTTGTCTCATTGATCTGTCCATTGGTGAGAGTGGGATATTAAAAACTGCTACCAGAAATGTGTTTTTTCCAATGTCTGTTTTCAGAATTGATAGTAGTTGCCTAATGTATTTTGGTGCTCCTTCATTTGGAAAGCATATATTTATGAGTATTAGGCCTTCCTGATATATTGTTCCCTTAGTCATTATGTAGTATCCATTCCTGTCTCTCGTTAGCTTTTCTTAGCTGGACCTCTACTTTATGTGCTAAAAGTAAAGCTGTCCCCATCTTCCTTTGGGTCCTATTCGTTTGTAAAATTATTTTTCATCCTTTTACTTTTAGTCTGTGTTTATCCTTGGAATTTAGGTGTATTGTGTTTTCTATTCCAAATAGATATTCTATGTCCTTTGATTGGTAAATTCAGACCATTTACATTTAGAATGAGTATTGATATATGAATGTGTCACTACCATTTTTTCTATAATTTTGTGATTCTATTTATTTCCTTATTCAGTTCTTTGTGTTTGTTCCTCTCTTCCATTTAGATACTAGAGCTCTTTTTAGTATTTCCTGGAGGGGGGTATCTAATAGTTGCAAACTACTATAGGGTAATGCTGGACTCCTAGAAATGAGTTTTGCAGAGTTTCCTCTTGTTTTTATTTTGGAAAAGTATGAAAAGGGTTAGTATTAGTTGTTCTTTAAATGGCTGGTAGAATTCATCAATGAAGCCATCAGGTCCTGTACTGTTGTTTGTTGGGAGGGTTTCTAACTTCTGATTCAGTCTCCTTATTAATAATATATCTGTTCAGATTTCCTATTTCTTCAAGATTCTCCTAAACCACTTTTACACTGTTCAGTTTTTTTATGTGTAATTGTCCTTAGTAGCTGATGATCCTTTGTGTTCCTGTGGTATCCATTGTAAAACCTTTTCTTTCATTTCTGATTTTATGTATTTGAGTCCTCTCCCTTTTTTTGGATGAGTCTAATGTCGGTTTATCTTTTAAAAATACCAGTTGTTAGTTTCACTGATCAAAATGGAAAGAGAGAATAAAAGGAAAAATAGAAGAAATCAGTGAAACTAACAGCTGCCAAAAAGTATTTGGTTGAGATCATACAGAACTGAAGTCTCTTTTCTAACATGCACAGAGGTATTATAAGTGCTAGGAGACTCTAGTTTTAAGTAAACTTTAAAAATTGAATGATGTTGTAACAAAAATCTGTCTTAAATGTATTAGATATTTCTTGGGAAAAATTGTGCTTGGTGATTTGGGATTTTAATTATAAGCTCTTTTGAACTATGACTATTAGAGCCAAGTCATAGTGAGAGGTATCTGGATGTTAAAGTAGACAACCTAAGTAAAATTTTGGTTTTCTGTATTATTAAGTATTTAACATTGGGTGGTTATATAATTTACCTCAGTTTCCAGTTGTGAAAACTGGATAATAATAGTTGCTTCTGCATCAAGTATATACTTTGTTTTTTTCTGTATTCTTTATGTTTGGACATCTGGGGCCTTGATTACTAGGGAGAGAATGCCTCTTGCACAGTTATCCAATTCTTATGAGATAGCAAGAATGTACCTCTCATATACAAACTAACCAATCCAGAGTCCATACTTGAAACCACCTTCTCTATCTGGCTCATACATTCCAGGAGACAATATTTTCCTTCTCTACTCATCCCAGAGATAGGTGTCAGACAATCAGGGTCAGGCCCTATGCCAAGAGAACACTGAAACAGACTACCTAATCTTCAATTAGCTTACTCTACTTGGCCTTATCTTTCCCATGGAGACTACAATGAAGTGTCTGATTCTGGCTCCTTCAGCTCCCTGAATGGCCCTCATGCTTCCTTGCATGATGTGGCATAGTGCGGGATGCCCCCTGTCTTGAGAACTGTGAATAATAAACCATCTTTTCAATAGTAATTATCTACTGACTTATGGTTTTACCGTATTTAAATAATAATAAAACTTACATTTGAAAACACCTTCACAGGAATAATACCTACAAAAATACTTTTTAACACAATAATCTATTCCTTCAAAACCGCAGATTCAAAGGTGAAAACAAAAGCAGTAAAAATGCCAAAAGAAAACCCTGTAAAAACCTGCAGTGAATATACTAAAGCCAGGAATCACAATAAAAAGTAATGCTTTTAAATAAAAAAATCAGGAATCATAAAAATATTGCTTTAAAAATATAAAACTCTAATTTGATAAAAAGAAAACAGGTTTGTAAGATATAAATGTGTGAAAAAACATTTACAACTCATGACAGAAAAAAGGATACTTATATAGAGAGAAAATAGATTAATAGTTTACACCTGGGGAGTAAATTTCACTTGTAATACTATAAAACTGCATTCATTAAGTCTCATCAACTCAAATAAAAGCAATTAGTTCCCTAAAACTGATTTATTATTAAAGTATGGCTGAAAATAGTTTGATCATTAAAAAAAGCCCTCTATACCATGTTTTAATTTTTTTATTTACACATACATATGTATATATGAAAGTTAACTATAATCCCACCTATGCTCAGATGATCCATATATTCTGATGAGTAAAACTGAAGTTTATCTATGTGTGATAAAGAATGAAGTAATTCTTTATGAATACAGCATCTTAAAAAGTCTTAACATATGTGTAAGATAGAAAAAGACTTACCGTCCAAAATTTTATAAAGTACTGTAAAACTGTTGCAGCCACAAAAAGGCAATATAATAGGGAGTATAATAAAAACAGCAGGAAGAATTTGTAATTAGAAAATCCTACACAGTTATTCACCCTAGAAGAACAAAGAAAGTCACACAGTGAAAATAAGATAAACCACAAACTCACAGAAACCAAAAACCGAATAGTGTTTGCTTGGGAGGGAGATGAAAATGGTTATTGTTTAATAGCATAGCATTTCAGTTTTATAAGAGGAAAAAGTTCTTGAGGACATCCCTGGAGGTGCAGGCAGTTGAGCGCAGCGCTGTGAAGCTGTCCACAGTCTCTGCAGCTCGGCTTCCATCCCTGCTGGCCGGGGAGCTACCCACATGGTGCAGCAGACCTCTCCTCTCTTGCTCGCTGCTCCCCTTAGCAGTGTATTTCAGTCAGTCTGCCTCTTCTGTTCCCCGCTCTGTCTCTGGTGAATCCTTTCACCCTCCCACACATTTGGCCTCTACCCCGGTTCTTGCATAAATAAATCAATCTTTAAAAAAAAAAGTACTTGAGATTAGTTGCACAACAATGTGAACATAACACTACAGAAATGGTGAGGATGGTAGATCTTGTGTATTTTTAAAACCATAATAATAATATACAACAGATCAAAATCATCATTACTTGGAAATTGGTCATTTGAGAAGTAGAGAGCAGTGTTTTAGTTGTGGATATGTGTTTTTAAGCAGTTCTCTAAAAAATCTGGAAATTATTTTAAAGATTTATTTATTTTTGCATAGAAGAACTGGGGTGTAGGTCAGAGATGAGGGGGGGTTGAAAGGATTCATCACAGAAAGAGTGAGGAGCAGAACAGGCATATTGACTGAAATATACTGCTACGGGGGACAGTAGGAGAGACAGGAGAGGTCTGCTGCACCGTATGTGGGTTAGCTCCTTGGCTGGGGATTAAACTCAGGCTATAGCAGTGATAGTGCTGAGACTTCACCCCTTTAGGCCACTAGGGAGGCCCAAAATCTGGAATTTTAATGTTAATTCTAAATATATAATTATTTGGGTTAATAACATTATGTTTTTAAAATAAAACATTAATATAAACATGTACCCTACACATGTATGGATCCATGTACATTGTATATAAATAAATATATTTAAAGCTAGATCAATCTTGTTTATGATGAGTAGTAAAATTGAACTTCCAAATTTAGAAGACCAAGGTAAATCACTGTAAATTCTCTCCTTCTTGTCTTTCCACCCCCCAATATGATTTCCTCTATTTTTTATACATACCAAGGACAGTGATGATCCATCTTAAGAATACATCTAAAAAACAAATAAGCATAAGAAAATCCATGTGAAAAATTCACCTAATTCTAATAGTTTTTTTTTTTTTTGGAGTTAAAATTTTCCCTTTACGAATACATATTAGGGAAAATAACCCAGTGAACATTACAGAAAATTCCTGATATTTCCACAAGTATTTTTATAAGAAAGGGATAATGATGTTGTCTTAGGTCACATTAAGATAAATTTTAATATTCAGATATGATGCATACAGCATTTGGTATATTAGCTAGATCTAGTTTACAAATCAGCTAGCAATAAAAGTAAATATAGACAATTCCTCTATTATTTTAAAAATGGTCAAGTCATAAAAATAAAATCTTAGCAGCAAATATGTTAAAGTATTAACACTAATGGTCATTTTTCACATATTTTATAAAATTTTATAAGATTTCACATATTTTACAAGATTATCCCATGGATAATCGCTACTGTACTTTTATAATCAGAAAAAACACACCAAAATATGCCTCCCTAGCAGTGGATATGTAATCTATACTTCTATAAAGTAAAACGACAGATTGTCTCAAGTAATAATAACAAATGAATAAACTAGTACCCAGAAGGTTCAATAGATTATCTAACTAAGGTTCAGGACTAGTTGAAATTCCCAAACCAGGGATCTTTTCTTCAACACATTACCTTCTCGCAAGTGCACAAAGAATTAAATCTTTCAAATTTTTCTAAGACAATGTCACAGATAAGAATTTAGAAAACCTAAATAAGGGACCAGGAAAAAGACTAATTATAATAAAGTAAAAATCAAAATCAACAAGCAACTATAAACCAGAGACACACTATGGGGGAGGGGGAGGAAAGATTAGGGTCAAATAAGGGGGGTGAGAATTGTATGGGGAATATTACCAAGATGAAAATGTATACATTGTGCAAAAATGAAAAATGATGTAAGAAACATATAAAATATAATAAAAAAAACAAGAGACTGAAAACAGTATTTTTGTGTTTTTTTTAGGTTTTAAAAGATAACATCATTCTGGCCTTTTTAACCATGGAAATAGTGTTTTATTTTTTCCAAGAGTTGCAACTTATTTGCTTATCAATATTGTATTAAACATAAACATGAAAGTATATTTAAAGAAATTTCTATCAACTGGATCAGGAATTACTACCAAAATTACTTTAAAGTATATTCTAGTTTATATACATAGTTTTGTTTGTCCTGCATACATAGCAAGTAACTGGAGAAGATGACATGTTTATACTATGTATTAAGCATATAAAATGTTCCTTCCCCTTAGCATTCTCCTTTCACCAACATCCAGTGATGGACTTAAATGAAAGCAAATGAGTAACACTTACATGTCACATGCTGAGCAGTGATGCGCGCGGTCAGGTTTAATCAACTGACATCTTTCACAGTATCTGATGGCTGTATTTACGAATTAAAAGAAAGTTGTTGAAGAATGTACAAATTTAGTTTAACTATAAAATTTGCTTTCATTTCTTTTATAAACAACTCTGGAAAATTAACAACTTATAATTTTAAAATGAATGTATCTAAACATTAAAGCATGCTATAGGATTTTGTTTTTGAAATTCTAAAATAGCTTTAAGAAACAAAAACCATACAACTCCTGTCTGGATAAATAGCAAAATGGAGAACGTCTTCCCATTATTAATAAATATTAATACATGCTTCTTTTGCCCAATTTATATGTTCATTCTTTCAAAACATAATGAGCACCTTCTAGGTACCAAATACTGTTCTAGGCATAAGTCCCTGACCTCACAGAACTTAAGTCCTATCAAAAACAGATGGGGAGTAATAAACAAGTTAACAAAATAAATAGTATGTATATTAGTGGCAGTTAAGAAAAATAAAGCATGAAAGAAGTATTAGGGTATTATAAATTCAGAGACATTTGAGAAAACTGAAATTGAAAGAGGAGAGTTAGTGAGTCACACACATATCTAGGAAAAAAAGGATTCTAAGCAGAGAGAACAGGCCTTGGGGTAGGAGTATTAATCAGTTTGTTCAAGGAATAGCAAAAGGCTCTATGTGAAGAGAGCAGAGTAAAAAGGCAGAGAGAAACAGGATGTCAGTTCAAAGAAGACTTATTTTTCCAAGTATTCTAATAAAAAAAAGTAAACAGCAAATGTCCACTGGAATAAGAGTACAATCAGAATCAGAGATTTTAGTTTTGGAATTATGTAAGTGACAATATAGATTGAGATTCATAAGAGAAATATCCTAAGATTTAATAAATCAATTCTTTAAAATCAATTCTTTTTTTTAAAGTTTTATTTATTTATTTATTTATTTATTTATTTATTTATTTATACAAGCACTGGGTACAGTCAGAAGCGCAGGAGGGTGAGAGAATTCAGAGCGGAGTGGGGAACAGAACAGGCAGACTGAAGAAATACACTGCCGAGGGGAGCAGCGGGTGGCAGGAGAGGTCTGTGCACCATGTGGGACCCTCCCTGGCAGCCGGGGATGGAAGTGGTGCTGCAGAGGCTGCAGGCAGCTTCGCAGCTCAGCACTCAACCGCTGCGCCACCAGGGGAGGCCCAATAAAATCAATCTTTAAAATCAGTATTTTAGATAACTAGAGAACAATAAAATTAAAGTGAAATGCTAATCTTTCTTCATATGATGAACTTCCAAAGCAAACAAAAAGCAGTGTCTTAGCAAGACAAACTACTGATCTTTCACAAATAGCTGATAACTTTTACAGAGTTAGAGCATTTGATTGGTAAATAGTCCACCTATTATAAGTGTAGTAGACTTCTTTTGGGTCTATCTGCCTGATGTGTAAGTTAGTTTTTTCTCTGGGAAATGATTTCAAACTACCTCCCTTTTTACCATGAGATTTCCAGTCTCTTCTTCCTCTTTTTTTTTTTTTTTTAAAGATTTTATTTATTTATTTTTGCATAGAAGAATTGGGTGTAGGCCAGAGATTCAGGAGGTGATTCAGGATTCACCAGAGACAGAATGGGGAGCAGAACAGGCAGACTTACTAAAATATACTGCTAACGGGGGGCAGCAGGTAAGATAGGACAGGTTTACTGTGCCATACCTGGCCTGGGATAGAACTCAGGCCATCAAGGTGATAGTGCTGAGACTTCTAACCCCTAGGCCACCAAGGAGGTTCCATATATCCTCTTCTAGTTCATTTCCTTCCTTATTAAGATATAATCCAGTGGATTATATTCTGTGTTGCTAGAGCTGTATTAACTAGTTAACAAAGGATAGCTATATTTTGCCTTGTGGATTGAATAAGAAATGAAAGATCTTTTGACAGGAGACAGTATCAAAAATGAAACATGCACAGAAATAAGCAGAAACAGTTGTAGAGAGTTCTGGCTTTCTAACTTTGGTTTCAATTGTTTCTAATAGTCCTGCCTTAGCTTAGAGGAAATACCCATCAGTAATTCCTTATACCATCCCATATTTTTTGGTATTTTTGGAGGGGGGGAAGAGAGGAAGCATAGAAGGTTTAAATTATTGTCTGTTACTTGAGGTTGTAAGCCCTAACAAACACAGTAACAGCACAGAAGACAGGTTTAAATAAGAACTTACAAGTGGGCCATATTGTGTATTACAATCTTTGTGGAAGGAAATTTGGTAGTATCTATTAAAATTTATGTTGTTTGACCCAGGATTTCTATTTCTGGAAAATGTATTCTGTAGACATGTTCACTATGGCATTGTTTTAAATGACAAAACATAAGAAATAAATTGAATTATGAAAACGGTTAAGCATTTCATGATTTATTCACATGTTGGATTTACTGTGCAGACTTTAAACAAGAATTTTCCAAATAAAATATACATGTTTTTTAGGGCCTCCCCCGTGGCACAGCGGTTGAGCACTGGGTTGCCAGGCTGCCTGCAGCCTCTGCAGCGCCGGTTTGATCCCCGGCTGCTCCCTGGCCACCAGAGGAGAGTCCCACACGGCGCGCAGGCCTCTCCTGCTGCCCGCTGCTCCCCTCAGCAGTGTACTTGGGTCCTTCTGCCTGCTCTGCTCCCCTCTCTGGCTCTGGTTAATTCTCTCATCCTCCCGCGCTCCTGACTGTACCCAGTGCTTGTATAAATGAATAAATAAATCTTTAAAAAATAAAATAAAATAAAATATACATGTTTTTTAAATTAGAAGAATGCCAATACATTAAAAGGAAAAAATATTGTAGCAAAATTTGAAGATGTAGTGTGTTTCATATCTTTAAGGAGAAAGAGAATGTATATAGTTTTTTCTTTACAAAGCTCAATAACATGCATCCATTTCCAGATATGAATTAACATATATAAGAAAGCCACAAAGTTTTAATTTGAAGCAATACTAGACGTTACATCTGCTAAAAGGCACTATCCAGGTAACCAAATTTGTATTGTTTAAAATCTATCCACTAAGATTGTTATGTTAATTAATTATGTAAGTTTTGTAATACTTTGCTTTTATAAGAAATTTTTTACAAGGATATACAAGGAAGGGTGGGAACTTCTAGGGAATAGTGCCAGGATTAGCTATGCAGGCTCACCCTTAAAAACTGTTTCTTCTGGGCCTCCCCTGGTGGTGCAGAGGTCGAGTGCTGGGCTGCAAAGCTGCCCGCAGCCTTTGTAGCGCCGGTTGGATCCCCGGCCACTGGCGAGGGTCCCACATGGTGCACAGACCTCTCCTACAGCACCCACTGCTCCCCTCAGCAGTGTATTTCGTCAGTCTGCCTATTCTGTTACTTGCTCTGGTGAATTCTCTCACCCTCCTGTGCTTCTGACTGTACCCAGTGCTTGTATAAATAAATAAATAAATCTTTCCAAAACAAAAAACAAAAACAAAAACAAAAACCTGTTTCTTCTGTTTTTTTTTTTTTTTTAAATTCATGGGCATGTATTACTTTTACAATTTGTTAAAATTCTCTCTAAACTGGGGGGAACTTATACAAATATCCACTTAGTAAATGAGTAAGCTAACATATTGAGCGTCTTCTATATTATCTCTCCTGGGTTGGCCACTAGGGAGATAAAATTATACAATGTAGGAAAAGAGCTATAAGGGACTGTCAAAATTTCCTAGGACAATCTCTTAATTTTATAGATTAAACAAACAGAGGAAGTATTTTCCTCAAGGATATAAAGCTAAACGAGTGGTAAGATCAAGAAGGATCAGAAGTTACATTATCTTGTTTTCCTTTCTCTCTATACTTCCTACAAACAAAATTCTGACATTGCCTGAGATGAGATTAAACCAAATAGACCTTTTAATAAGACTTTAAGGGGCCTTGATGACTGAGTAGATAGAACTGAAGTAAAAGTAGTAATCAAAGAAAACTTTAGTTTCTAGTCTTGGGTGGCGAGAATGATTTTGTGATTTACAGAATGCTCAATGGAAGGGGAAGGGCGTGGACTAGGATAGGGTGTTTTTCATTCATTCATTCAGCAAATATTTAGAGCTTCCTTTATGTGACAAATTCTACTTGTTCCTGAGAATATTAAGATATAAAGGTGATTAAGACAGACACGCTTCCTGTTTCCATGGAATTACATTTTAAATGAATAAATCCAGGTTTTTTTTTTTTTTTTTTTTTGAGTTTGAAGGTTTGGTTAGTAGGTAATTCAAGCACAGCTATCCCTTGAAGCTGGAAATACAAGTGTGGAGTTCCAGTGAGAGCCAGTGATGCTGACTTGAAAGGCCATGCCAAGATGAGTTACAAAGTCTTAGTAATAACTACTGAGCTTTGTGGGGAGAGGTTTGGAGCTTCTTTTTCCTGAAACAACAGGAATGATGCTGCAGCCAGATTGCAGGTCATATAATCTTTGTGTGTGTAGCTGCAATTACATCCTTTAGCCTGACACACAAGAAAAAGTTTGGAATACAAGTGAGTACTGGCATGACAGCATCCTTGCATTTATTCTAATTAATGTTAATAAAAAAGTAACTTATTCCTGAAAACAAACTGCTTAAAACACTATCAGTAATGATCACAATACTGCAGTATCAGAATTCCATGATTTTAAAACAACAGTTAAAGGAACAGTATGGAGAGAACTGGGGGCAAGGCACCTTTGCGGAATTGAGATTTATAATTTTAAAGAAGGAATAATTTTTAAAAATAAATACCTAGTCAAGGATGCAAAAAAACAGAATTAGAATTGACAAGTACAAGCAGGAAAGTTTTTACGAAGTCAAAATGACAAAAAAATCACTGAAGTTGGTTAGGGAGAATGGAAGCCTATTGTCTGGAATTATCTGGGAAGAAGAGGATTTATAATCCAAGGGAAGAGAAATTAGAATGGTACTTAATACAGCATCAGAATCAAATTTTTATTTTTGTTTTTAAGAAGAAATATATTTTGACGTATACCTGGTAACAGAGGGAAAAAGTTGTTTGGAATTTGAGTGAAGAAGCAAGATTTTTAAGAGAAACTGGGGTTGAAGAAAAGGTCAGCAATCTCTAAACAAAAGAAAGGACAAGAATGCATATAGGAAGAAAAAAGAAATGTAGTAAGTAAAAGTCAGAGTTTGTAAAGAAGCACTGGCAACACATGTCCAGAAGCAGCAAGGACTATCATCATTTAGGTTCCATTTTAATTCTCACTAAATTGTGACCTAACCTACACTCTATAAGTTTCATTTTTTTCTTCTGTAAATGCAAATAATAACAAGTGTTAAGATTATTATACAGATTAAAAATGTATTTCTTGGAATATAGTAGATCCTCAATAAAGCAGTTACTCTCATTATGACGATACAGTTATCTCTGATGAAACATAAAATCAGATTCTGTGATGGGAAAAATAGTGGGGAAGGAGAAACTAGGAAGATTAAAAGTATATAAGCAGCCATTATAGAGAATATAGCTAGGAACAGATTCATTCAACAAATATCTTTGAGTGTCTATTTGGTGAGATATGGTGTTAAGGATCAAGAGAGAAATTTCTAACAGAGGGTGTTGAAGAGGTGAGATGAATACAAATAGCTACAAGGCAGTGATTCTGTGAGAAATCACTGTGAGATATCTCTCCCCAGATATCTCTAAGATATTAATTTGAGAAGTTTTCAGAGCAGACTTTATAAAGACTACTCTTGTTAAAATAAATGGAAAGGGGATGAAGATAGGTGAATATTGAGTTAAAACTTTAACATCTATTTAGAAAGGAAGAAGCAATTATTCTAAACAGAGGAAAAGACACAAACACACACACACACACACATACACACAAACGTGGAGGAGGACAGGATGTTTTAGCACAGAGCTGACATAAGGAAATAGTTGGGACAAAGCTAGAAAAACACTGGCTGGATCTAGATAGTGGAGGGGAGAAGGTTTAGAAGGGCTCATTGTGTTTCCTGAATAGATAATCATGTGTCCGTATGGCTCAAAAGAGCACAAAAAGGAATTCATCACTGTTGCCCAGTTGTTGCCAAACTCCGTGAAGGCAGCTCCATTGTGCGTACTAATCTTGGTCAATGAAGTTTCTTTTTAATTTTGTTTTTTTTAAAAATTAATGGGTATTACTTCTATAGTAATAAAAAAGAATGATCACCACTTTCCCCAAACACTCAAAATTTTGAATTCTAAGCAACACAAATGCAGTACAGGATGGTATTCAAGAGTAGGTACTCTGCTGTAATCAGAGATAAAGTATGAGAACCCTAGACCTTGCTACTTGGGGGCTTTGGGACTTGGTTGTGCCTCATTATCTCTAAAATAGAGATGAGGTGAGCACTTATCTCAGAGCTGTTCTAAGGATTAAACTGGCACCAGTAAGTGCTTAGCATAATTCAACAGATGAAAGTTATTATTAAGATAAGAGGAAAGCCTTTATAATAATGGAAAGGGGCAAAGCTTTACATGCAGCCACTTTGCATTAAGTGGCTCTTATCTCTTTTGGACACATGTACTACTCCGAAAATTAGATCATTTTGCTGTGAATAGGCTATTTCCAAAATTCCCTGTACCCAAAATTTTGCATATAATCTCAGGAGTTCATAAATTCTCTGAAATCTTGGACTTTGGGTTAAAACATTTAATTTATATAATTAACAGAACTATTAATCATTATTGTAAACTAGACTTTTCATAATTGAATATAAAAAAGATTACTTAAAATTAACTATCATTTACTGGTATTTTATTATTATATTCTGAGACCTATACTAAGTATGTATCTCATTCTAATTAAATACTTCCACTAACCCAGAGATATAGATATTATCTTCATTGTAAAGTGAGCAAAGTAGGGATGAGAAAGTTAATGACTCTCACTATATCAGTAATGTAAAACCTCCGATTTGACCTGGAATTTACTTTTTTATAAAAAAAAAAATATTTATTTATTTATTTATACTTGCACTGGGTACAGTCAGAAGCACGGGAGGGTGAGAGAATTCACCAGAGCCAGAGCGGGGAGCAGAATAGGCAGACTGACGAAATACACTGCTGAAGGGAGCAGCAGGCAGGGAAGGAGAGGTCTGTCGTGCCATGTGGGACCCTTGCCTGCGGCCGGGGATTGAACCTGAGCTGCAGAGACTGCAGGTAGCTTCGCAGCCCAGCGCTCAACCGTTGCGCCACCAGGGGAGGCCCTGGAATTTACTTTTTTATTCTATATGGTAATAGATTAGTTATGCAAAAGGATGGATTAAATGCAAAAAAACTTAAGCTGGTCAAATATTCCTTCTAAAATCTTGTACAACCTTTAAATTTTTCTAAGTCAAAACCTGTGTATAACTACACAAAGGTAGAGCTTGTGATTTGCCATTAGAGCTGACAAGCATAGTGGGTTCTGGGGCCAGAAAACCTAGACTTAAATCCTTATTTTTTCAGAGAATACCTGTATGATGTTGAATAAATTATTGTATTTGCTCCATGTCTCCTTTTCTTCATCTATAAATTAGAGACAACAGTATCTATCTAATATGGTTATTGTAAAGTTTAAGTGATTCAGGGCCTCCCCGGTGGTGCAGCGGTTGAGCGCTGGGTTGCGAAGCTGCCCGCGGCCTCTGTGGCGCCGGTTCGATCCCCGGCTGCTCCCCGGCCACTGGAGGAGGGTCCCACATGGCGTGCAGACCTCTCCTGCCGCCCGCTGCTCCCCTCAGCATTGTACTTCGGTCCTTCTGCCTGCTCTGCTCCCCGCTCTGGCTCTGGTGAATTCTCTCACCCTCCCGCGCTTCTGACTGTACCCAGTGCATGTATAAACAAACAAACAAACAAATAAATAAAACATGCCTCTATAAAAAAAAAAAAGTTTATCTGTATTTGCAGTATCACAGAAAATATAGGAAACAGGAAAATTTTGCTCCTGCAGACATTATTTATGGAAATTACAATATCCACTAAATCAAACATATCTTGGCAGAAATGATCATATTCTAAAAATTCCTTGGGAGATATAAGATTTGTTTTCCTTACTCCTTGAAGCCGACGTAGTATAGATAGGTAAGTCTCTTGCTGCTCTTCTCAAAATTTCTTGTTGTCTTTCTTGGCTGAATTCCTTTTCGTAACGTTCCTTTTCAGAATTTGACAAGTAGAACTATAAAAAAGAAATAACTATTAGTTCTTTTTTAATCCTACGACTACTATCACAATCAGAAAAAAAAGTTTTATCTAGAACATTATTGCATTCTATGAATGCAAAATTTGCCTTCAAATTTAAGAAGCTGTATCAACTACATTTTAACAAAACTATATACCTTTGACATATCAAAGGAGATTGAAAGTTAGTGTCAAGAAATTTTTTTTTTAAAGATTTATTCATTTTACACAAGAACCAGGGTACAGGCCAGATAAGCGAGAGGGTGAGAGGATTTGCCAGAGACTAAGCGAGGAACAGAACAGGCAGACTGACGAAATACACTGCTGAGGGGAGCAACAGAGATGACAGGAGAGGTCTGCTGCACCATGTGGGACCCTCGCCGGCTGTCAATAAATTTTTAATTTTTGGAAGGCTATCCAAAGACACACTTGCCTAAATCACAGGCATGGGGTTCCTCCTATTTTCTGGCCAAATGTCAGAATGAGGTCAACAAATTATTCTATTACTTTGATTCAACATTTAAAAAGCTAACCAGTGGGAATACTTTCTCCAGAATTATTAAGGATTGTCAAAGCAAATATGGTCACCTATTCACAAGGAGATTCCTTTATGTTTCTGCTTTTAAATTCCAGTTTTAAATTTTTATTTCCAGGATGTGAGAATTCATGCTAGTTCATTTCTTTACATAGTATTTTCCCTACAAAGGAAAGTTACTCTTTTTCTTGTGTTACCGCAGTATTATAAGGACATTCAGTTTTATTCATCTATTTCATATAACCATATAACCAGAAACTTTAAGTTTCTTTGGGTCTTTATTCACAGAACATTTTTTAGAATGAAAAATCATTTGAAACTTAGTCATGTTTTATACTTTAATAATACTGTTTCTCATTTTTTACCTTTTATAGGGTTTTACTTGAAAAGGTCTTAGGAATCATGACTGGAATTTTACCTTTTTTATATTTAAGTATTTTGGTCTATCTGCAACACCACTGCCCATACTCTTTATATCTCATTATCAATAACAATATTAGCTTGTAATGTACCCTATTCTGTTACAAACAAGGCAACAGTATGGTATAGGAGAAAGAGTTCTGCCTTAAGGAGGCTCAGGAATTAGCCAAGACTGTATAATTTATTGGCAGAACTAAAATTAAAATTCATGTATTCTGAGTTTTACTCTATTATATTTCCCTCTATTTTGCTAAAGTAAAATAAATTTTCTTTCTTTTTACAGATTGCTAGTCTAATCTGACCAAAAGACCATGGTTTAGGAAATAGAAATATCTATTTAATTACCTAGCCTGCCTCCTACTATTAAATCTTGATGGCACAAGAAACCCCAAGTTACTTATAAGGGACTAGAAGTAACACAGTCAGATGAATAGGACATAAAGAAGTCAGAAAATTTTCACACAATCTTATAGCTGACACTCTAGAGGCCACTTATTTAACTTCCATCAAACAGGAATCTTCAGATGTTTCTTAGACCAACCCCTCTTGATTACTTTCAGGTATTAAAAATATTTTCATACTTTGCAAGATGGCCTATTCTATTTTTCGAGAAATGTAACTTGTTAGAAAATTCTTTTCTGACATGAAACATCTCTGAATTATTCATAGTTGAATTTAAAAATCAGATGGTATGATGTTAAATGTATATTTGGATAGGAGATGTTCCAATCAAAGTTTACAGTTTCTTTGTAAAATCTGAACATATTTCTCGGTTTGGTCTATGACTAGTGTCCCATAGTATCCCAGACCTTAATTTCCTTCATTTCTTTAAGAACTAAGGTTATAAATTTTGAAAAGCATAAACCAAATGGAACTATCAAGTGATACCAGAATTTTTATGTGAAGAATGAAATAAAACAAAATTTTAAATGGATGAGATTTTTGAAATTACTAGACTATTTTTTATTAAAAACTATCAAACAGTGCCTCCCCTAGTGTCGTAGCGGTTGAGTGCTGGGTTGAGAGGCTGCTCGATCCCAGGCCACCAGCAAGGGTCCCACAAAAAAAATACAAAGAACAAAAAAAACCCCTACCAAACAGAATTCAAACTATGAAATGCCATTATCTTAAATTCAGTGTTCAGATGGTTCAATTTAAACATATATTAAGTATCAATCAAAAGCTTGGCATGTACTGGGTACCAGGGATCCAAGAGTAAAAATATAGCCCTTTCCTTCAAAAGTACATTCCCATTGGATTGTAGGAATGTTAACTATGTAAACAAAGAATTGAGTTACAAATAAACATAACATTAACAGTTTATTACAAAATATGAAAAAAGCTGTTAGTGAATGTTATTTGCAACAAGTGGTACCTAAGCTGGGTTTTGGAAGAGAAACAGGAATCTTCCAGGAAGACAGAGATAAAGATTATCTTTGCAAATGGAGGGCACATGGAAAGTATAACAATGTGGAAATATTAAAATATATTCAGGGAAATAACTTACTTGATACAGAGTTTCAGAAAGAAGAATGGAGATGAAGCTACAAGATGTTAGTTCATGAAGGCCAAACAAATGAACTTAATTTTATCTTGTAGCTATCTCTGTAAAGCTGGCAGAGAAGTGATGAGACTATTTTGTTTTGTGGGAGGTAATGCTTAGTTATGTAAGATGCCTATTTGCCCTTCAAATGCTGCCTTCTCCTCATCATTTATTCAGTCATTTACAACATCAAATTCTAGGCAATAGGGACATAGCTACAAATAACAGAATTCTTCCTTCAACAAGCAGATACTTTGGTGAAAGAGATAATTATAAAAGTCTCAAATTAAATGACACTTCCTCAGAAATTTCTATGGTCATACTGTGTAAAGTATCTTTCTACTCTGTTATGTTCTACCACACATCAGCATGTTCTAAAGTTTTCTAATTTTATCACAATTTATAATTATTTTATTTGTTTATTTACTTGTTCATCATCTGTCTTTCCTTTTAAAATGGAAGGCTGTCTGTCTGTTCTTCTGTTTATTCCCAGAGCCTAGCACAGTCTGACAAACAATAGCTGCTCAGTAAGTATTCTAACTGAAATAAAAAATACACATATTTATATTTGTACAGTTTTGCTTTTTAGACAGTCAATTCCTCTATATTTAATTCCCAAGTGTTGCTGTAACCTCTGAGCTTATAGAGTGCTTGTAATGCATTTATATGTGAACCTGTCTCTCAGCTTTGTAATTACTTATGGAGACCTTTCTTAGCACACAGTAAGATCATGTAAATACCTGTTCTAGGTCATCAGTGCAGCTTAGTTTAGCCAGTCCTCAATGATTTAATATTAAATTCATACAAAATAAGTTGAACACCTACTATGTGCTAGATAGTAGGCACAAGGATATAGTGGAGAACATGATAGAAATCATCTCTGCCTTCAAAAAACTGACAATAAGGTGATGCATACCAAAAAAACCAGTGATAAATTCTATGACATGGAAAGTAGAACATGCCATAGCAGGGCCACCAGGTTCAGGCTTAGGCAGTAAGTTGAACCCAAAGGAAATAGAAGCATGAAGGATGAAGTGAGTAGTATAAAGGCTTAAGACCTAGGCTGAATACTAAATAGATTAAAAAACCGCCAGAACAATGAAAAAAGAAAAAAAAATACTATTTAGATGGCATATTATGTGTGAAGTCTTCTAAACACCATTACATTATAAACTACATACTATTAATAAATACTACTATTTATTAATAAATACTATTAATAAATACTACTAATCATATATATTAATTTATTCAATTCCTACAATAATCCTACTAGGTATATTCTGCTCTTATCCTTATTTTACAGAGGAGAGAAGTGAGGTACGCATAGCTAAAGAAAGTCTCCAATGTTTTACAGCTAGTAAGGGACAAAGGATGAGTAATATCTGGGCAAACTGGCACCAGATTCTGAGTTTTTAAAGTCTTTACTACACTACTTCTCAAAAGTATTAACAAATGTTTTCCTTATTTTTTTATTTCCTGTAGTGAGAACTATTTAATATGTACTATGTACTATGTTTTGTACTATGTTTTTCATTACTATTACCAATTGATTAAATACAATTAAGCCTCCTTTCAACTTAGATATGAATGGCAGTTTGTAAAATAACTTTAAGAGTTGACTTATCAAATGTTGGCAGAAAAGAAACACTAAGTTTGATTAATGGCTTACATTAACTCTTAAAACCAAAACATCCAATAGAAAAAAATGGGCAAGACTGTGTGGCATTATCTACTAATGCTGAATGTACACACAACACATGATCCAGCAATTCTACTCCTGGGCATTCACCCAGAAGAATTACTTATGTATGTATATACTTGTATGTGAATACTACAGTGTTTACAGCAGTCCTATTTGTAACAACTTTAAACTGAAGTCACCCAAAATGCCCATACCCATCACCAGCAGACCAGATAAATACATTGTGTTCATGCAACAATTGAATACTAAATAATAACAATAAGAAATGATCTGAAAAAAACTGACTTTTTTTTTTACATCAATAATAAAAATCTGGTGACAAACATTATAAAACCAAATGCTGGACAGTCTTTACTCCTTTAAAATTCCAAATACTGCAACATAATTATAGGCGTAAAAGACCTTTAAAGTTGGAGGTGTTTAGGATTGCTATCAATTTTCAGCACTGTGCTATTGGGAAATAAGTGTTTTGCTTTTGTCTATCAGTCTGGGCTCAGTTTTTATTTAGTTTAGAAGACAACTGTTGCATCAATATATTGTTTCTTGGCATTGTTCAGCATAGTAATGTGTACACTTTTGTGTACACATAATCATATTTAAGTTTTTTGCATAAAATAAATGCTTCTAGATGTCAAAAAAAGAGATGATCCACAACTATATGCAACAACATGGATGAATCTCACAAATATAATGTAAAGAATCTAGACATAAGCATACAGACTGTGTGAATTCATTATGAGAAGTACAAAGCTAGGCCAAACCAGTCAATGACATTAAAAGGCAGCAGAGGATTTCTCATGCAGTGGTTGACTGGAAGGGTGCATGAGGAGGCTGACAGAATGCTGATAAAGCTCTCTTATTTAAACTGATGGTAATTATTCAAAAGTTTTGTATTTGTGAAAATTTATAAAGTATTTACTATATGTGTATTATTCTCCATATATATTCTATTAAAAGTTAAATGGGAATTATTATTTTTAAACATATAATCTATAATTTTTAATGAATTTAAAGGGAAGGGATATAATTTATCATTATCATCATTATCATCATCAAACATTTAAGTGCTAAGTATATGGCAGTTACTATGTTAAAAGTTTTACATGAATCAACCTTACCTAATCCTCACAAACACTTTACAGAGACAGGTACTATTGTTAGCTCCATTTTCCAGTAAGGAAATTGAGTTTATTAAGTTATGTGTGAAAGGAGAAAATAAAACTCGGTGAGTTATCTCTAGAAAATACATTCTTAACCATCTAACTCTACTGAACTTTTGGTGAATTCAGCTGGTTGTGTCAAGGCCACAGACACACTGGTCTTAAAACTTACTCCACATAAATATTTACTCATAATATTTTCCAAATGGTACTTCCAAAGAGAAAAAGCACTAGCTATATTAATGTTAATGAACAATAGCCTAGATAATTTGTTTCCCACAAACACTTCCTTTAGCTGTAACATACTTGTTCAGGGCTGAGAAAATAGCAACGTTAAAAGGATTTCTAAAAATAAACTCTACTTTCCTAATTTATTCTGTCTCTTAAATTTATTTAATCTAGTAATATATAAAGTGTCTTTAAGAAAATACACATGGCAGAAAAATATCAGTATGGTTAAACATTAGCACAATTATCAATCTTTTACTATGAAATGTCAGTGGGTTGTATCTGAGAATATGCTTATGACTCACACTCACAATGTAGAGTTAACTGAGCAATTTCATGAATGGAAACAAAACAAATGCATTACGCAATAAAGTTTTAACAAAGATAACACAGGGAAAATAATTCCATAATTAGTTGTAGCATTTGGAAATTTACTAACATTGAATTTACCTCTTTGGAGGGGGAAGCGGGAGATGTGAAAATTGTCATCCAATAGGACCATACAAACATAACAAAGAACAGATGGAAAGCCACAAGGTAAACAACGGCCTTTCCTGGTAAATAAAAACAAATAACATTTCATTGAGTCTAGGTGAAAACAGGAAAAGGTATAATATTAGATATGATTTAGGATCAGGAGGCTTAATCCAATAAAAATTTAATTAAAACCCACTTAAAATATTAAATATATAAACTCCTTTATCTGTATGAACTAACATTAAAATATGAAGAAACACTCTGTTTCAGCATTTAAAAGTTATTACCTGATTTAAAAGTAAAGACTGTAGTCAGAGATGGAATTTGATTTAATTAAGTTGCTGAAGATTTAACAGAAAGTTAATTAAAAATTTAACAGCAAGTGGATTAGCATTCATTCAAACATCTTCAAACTTTCAAACATCTTTTAAACACTAATAAAGCTTGTTATGTTCTATAGTTTTTCAAGTTGGGAAAAATGGGATTGGTTTCCTCAAGAAGGAAAAACTATCTACCAGGTGTTTAAGCTTTATTTTTTTTTTTTAGCTTGGAATGCAACAGCACAAATCAATTGAAGAAAACAAAATATAGATAAGCATAAAAGTTTGAAATTCTATTCATTTTTAAAGTTGAGATCAAATATTACTTCTACAAAAGTCTTCTCCATTACTTTGAGAATTTGTTATCCTCCATACTATATTCCCCAAATAATTTGCTCAGACATCAATTAAAGCACTTAATTGTGTTCAGTAAAGTTAGTTGTTCTGTGGGAATGAGGTCATATATCCCAAACACTTAGAACAGTGGCATATATTAAATCTACTACTTCTCTTCCTCTTCCTTACTATTATTAATACTAATATGCATTCATTTCTTCTTATAATTTGCCTCTTTTTTGTGCGTTTCCCTATTTTTGTTTTTCCCAAGCCTAAGGACTGATAAAGGTTTCACTGGTCTGCATAAAGAACAATGCAGTGAAGTTTTACATAGTTAACATTATGTATTCAATTTGAAGTACTCTATTTTTTGTCTGAGGTTATATTTGCTTATGTTTTTGGTTTAAAAAATGTTCTTTTAAAATAAGATAATAAAAATTAACAACTCATTGGAACCCCAACATTTTCTTTTATAATTATAATAGTTCAGGTCTAACCTAAAAGGAAAGAAGTACTAGTCAGACACTTGAAGGATGCAGGAAACCTGGCCTCAATGACTTCTCCTACTGTATAATCATAGCTCAAAGTATCTCACATTCTAGCTCCTAAAGTCTCTTTCTTTTTTTTTTTTTGGTTTCCCTAAAGATTTATTTATTTATTTACACAAGCACTGGGTACAGTCAGAAGCGCGGGAAGGTGAGAGGATTCACCAGAGCCAGAGTGGGGAGCAGAACAGGCAGACTGATGAAGTACACTGCTGAGGGGAGCAATGGGCGCGGCAGGAGAGGTCTGCGCGCCATGTGGGACCCTCACCTGCGGCTGGGGATTGAACCAACACTGCAGAGGCTGCGGGCAGCTTCGCAGCCCAGCGCTCAACTGCTATGCCACCAGGGGAGGCCCCTAAAGTCTCTTTCAAAGTACACTCCTTACCATTATTTTCAATGCCAGTGCAACAGTTCACAAATAGTTGTGTTACTGTAAAACTTATGGAACGCCATGTTAATGGGCAATAAAATGTGTTGATTAGTTTCACTCCCCATTTGGCTGTGAAATTCTTGGGAAATAACTCCATATTATGCCTAATTATTTCCAATATTAAGAATATGTATTAATAATTTCTGTCCCTTGTTTCGAGAATCCTCTGGATTTTCATACATCAAAAATTCATTTTGGAAATTTGCTCTTAACAGGCTTAAAATGTTCTTTTATTGATGAAATTCTGAGCAATGATTTTTCCTTCTAGTCACTCACTGTCTTTTTGACTAGTCATTACAGAAACTTTAAATTCCTTTTGAAAATGAATTAGTAATACAATTTACAACTATTAATACAAATTTACAATTAGTAATACAAATTTACAGTCTATTTTATTAAATGTCTACATGTAGTAAAGTACAATTTTTTACTAATTGAGACCCATCAATAACATTTATATATCATGAAAGTAAAATGCCCTCTTCAACTCTACCTAGAACTTATACTAAAAAATCTTCAACTACTATAAAGCATTCTGAAAAATATATGGCAAAGATATTTATGTAAGTATATCAAAGAAATTAGGAAACTAGCTCATTACAAAATTATAGCTACTTCAATTTATATAAATAACACAAGAATATATAAAATGAATAGGAATAAACCCAACACCACATCTCCTTCTAATTACTTAAGCTTTAAAGATAAATTTCTCTTTGAAAACAAAAACACACAACATTATCACTATACAAAAAGTACTGGTTGTATTCTACTAAATTGAGATTAAAAGTATCTTACCGTTTTCTCCATTTCCAGACAGAGTAACTAGAATAGAAGAAAAAATAGTGAATAAATATATATTAAGCATCTTGTATATAAACTTTTTTTAAGGTTATTTTATTTAAGGTTGACTATTCATCTTAGTAGTACTTTCATAAAAATAAAATTTAGTTAAAATGTAAACAGTAATGCAAATTCAGAACATTAAAAAAACTCTGAAAACACTAAAATTCAAATTATTTATCACTAACACTGAAATCCTATTTTAATTTTTTTTTTTTAAGGCACTCTCCTACATTGCTGGTGGGAGTGCAAACTGGTCTAGCCACTATGGAAAGCTGTCTGGAGGTTCCTCAATCTACTAAAAATGGACCTACCATATGACTGAGAAATTCCACTTCTAGGGATCTACCCAAAGGACACAAAAACATTGATTCAAAAGAACACCTGTACCCCCTATGTTTATTGCAGCACTACTTGTATTAGGTAAAACCTGGAAACAACGCAAATGCCCAAAAATAGATGACTGGATCAAGAAGATGTGGTATATATACACAATGGAATATTATTCAGCAATCAAAAAAGATAAACACGCCATTCACAGCAATGTGGATGGAGCAAGAAGGAATTATGCTCAGTGAAATAAGTCAGAAGGAAAAAGAAAAATATCGGATGGTTTCACTTAGAGCAGGAATATAAGGGGACCAAATAAGACATAAAAAACATATCAAAACATAAAAAAATAACAATACAAACACAACACAACAAAACAAAAACAAAGAGACAATTATAATCCAGAGACATCTGCAGGGGAGGGGGAGGGAGCACAATGTGAGGGAGAAAGAGAGGAGCACTGGGGACTGTGGTGATGGTGCACAGATGAATTTGTGAGGGAAATTCTATGGGGAATACAACTGAGGGGGGAAAAAAACCAAAAAACAAACATTGTTTAAAAATGAACAGTGATTGGGGTCAAAATAAGGGGGTTGTAATTGTATGGGGAATATAAAAATAAAATTTAAATTAAAAAAAATGAACAGGGATGTAAAATATATATAAATCAAAAGAAAGAAGGCTAAAAAAGTAAAAATAATTTTTTTCTGACTTTTGTTAACTTTAAGTGTATCAATATGGTTACAATCCTGATGTTTTTCTTTAGCTCTTTCTTTTACCTGCAGAAAAATACAAGAATCTATCCCTATAAATTTTGGAGTGCTATTTCCTTCACGCCTGAAACCTTGGGAATTGCTATTTATTCCTTCTATCGAGATAGTCCAATGGCATCTAGGTCTTGATGATTCTACTAAGTCACCAATCTGTCCACTATTTCCAATTTCTCTCATTGCCTTATTTCAGGTTCTCCTCAAGTACAGTAATGTAAAGCATCTCCCTACTATTAATTTAATACACTCTTAAACCACTAGAAAATCTGATGAATGATGACTCAACATCCCCCAGTCACTTTCAGAACAAAGTCCAAAATCTTCAGGGTCTGCATTCTGCAATCCATAAGCTAACTCTCTACTCTCTTCTGTTATTTGCCCACAGGGATGGTCTAATTATCTGAACAAACTGCAGTTTCATAGATGAATCAAGCAGTTTCATATGTGCTATGTGTCTTCCCTATACATTCTTCATGGCCCAGTTTAAAAACTACTTCCTTTGTAAAGCCTTGATTCCTTCTTTAGGCACAGCAGATCACACCTTCATAACATCTGGCTCTTCAACCTCTACTAGACTGCCTAAGCTCAAAATCATATCTCAGAACAGTAACAATCATACAAGTTATCATTAGTTCTGATAGGAGTTAGGGAGGGGGAATAGATTGGGTGAGACACTAAGCTGGTACAGTAGAAATCTGCACACACACATTGTTTATGGCCTGTCTGCTCTGAGTGAATTTTCCAGCCCAAGGACACGTCTGGAGGAGTGTGGGGAGCCAGAGCTATCTGAAGACCAGCCTCAGCACAGTGGGATGAGCCTGAGGCCTGGTCTCCAGGAGGGCAATAAGGAACTCTGTGAGCTGGACATCACAATCTCCTGGCAGCGGTGAAAGCCTGCCTACTGCTGAACTCTCTTTGTCTAACTCACTATAAAAAGGCAGCTGGAAATGAAATGTTAAGGCGTTTCCTTAGAAAAGAAAGCCTCCACCACTGTCTTCAGATTGCTGGCTGTCTGATTAAAGGGCACTTTAAAGATTCAATTCTTGTCTCTACCTTATTGGTACTCAGTGGTAACAGGTGGCCAGTCTTCCAGTTACAATTCCATTTAACAGATAAATAAACTATGGGTCAAAATAATTAAATGACTTGCCTAAGGTTACAGAGTTAGTACATATAGTGTAGATAATATCTTAAGTCTATTTGGAATTGTGTTCTTTTCTGTACCATGTCTCTCATCTTATTATTTTTTTCAGAAACCAAGTCTAGCATACAGTACCAATGATTAAGAAATGCTTAAATTTCATTTTTTACTAAAAATCTCTGATAAAACAGGAGTACAAGTATACTTCCTTAATAGACTACACTATAACTACTTCAATCCCCAAAGCAGCACAATTTAATGAGAAAACACTATGGAAGTATTCCTACTAAAGCCAGGAACAATACATGTGAATTTACAATGATTATTTTTTTTAAAAAAAGCACTTATTACTTTAGAGAAGTATAGCGCTTCTTCTCAACCCATCTTAGGTCAACTGGGTATAGCCTGGGATAGGTAAATCTTGATGTGGTCCCCTCTTGCCTCACAAAGCATTTCCCATTTACACTACTACACATAAAACCATTATTTTCAATGTTTCAGTATTTCATGTCATGCTGTGAAAATGACTGGGAAATACTGTAAGAAGCCACACAATTATAAAAGAAGTAAACTGGTAGCATAAAAATTGAAAAGAAGGCAAATGTACCACTATTGGCAGATTATATGGTTATATTCCTTGCTAGTCAAAGAAAAGCAACTAAAAAACTATTAAAACAAGTGGTGGTAACACACAAAATGAAAGTACACACAAATCAATAGTTTTCCATTATATCAATATATGCAATCACCATGTAGAAGTTATAAGTAAAGACAAAGTTTATTTACAAAGCTACCTAAAAAGACAAAATTCTTAGGAATAGATATAAGAATTGAGGAAGATCTACATACATTTTAATGTTTCTCAGAGACACTCATAAAATCTACACAAATGGAAAGACTTATTCTTTTACACAGAAGAGTCATCACTAAAATCACTAGTGTGATCTCAACAAAATACTTTTATTAACTATGTAGATTCTAAAGTTCATTTCTGGAAAAATAAAACTTAAAGAAGTAGGAAATTTTTGAAAGAGAAGAATAATAAAGTAAGACTAGCTATGCCAAATATTAAAACAAAGTATTTTAAATGTACTATAAATGCCCTCAATTTATTAAAATAATTGCTCTTGTTCATGAATAAACAGATGAGTGAAACAGAATGGAAAGCCCCCAAATGAACCCCAATGCATCTAGGAATTCAGTATATGATAAATATGGGATTTCAAAGTAGTGTAGAGAGAGACATAAAATGCAGTTGGGCAAATGGGTAGCCAAGGAGAAAAAAAAATACCACTAAGATTCACAACACAGACCAGGATAAGTACCAGATGAATTAAAGAATTAAATGCAAAAACAAAAACAAAAAAAACCCTGCAAAGCCATGTATATACTAGAGGAAATCAGGAACAAATTTTAATGTATATGATTTTAGAGTAGTACTTTCAGAGTATAACATAAACCTAGAAGCCATAAGAAAAAACAGAAACAGGGCCTCCCTGGTGGCACAAGGGGTTAAGTCTCAGCACTGCGAAGCTATAGGCAGCCTCTACAGCAGGAATTAGATCCCTTACCAGGGAGCTAACCCACATCGCACAGCAGACCTCTCCTGTCTTGCCCACTGCTCCCCTCAGCAGTGTATTTAGTCGATCCAGCTGTTCTGCTCTCACTCTGTCTCTGGTGATTCCTCTCACATACTGCACCACTGGCCTACACTCCAGCTCTTGTATGCATAAGTATTTAAAAAAAAAGAAATATATGATTACATAATAGATAAAAATAAATGCTTGGGGGAAAAAAACACTACAAAAAAGTAAAGAGTAACAAAAAACTAGAAAAGAATATTCATATGGTTACTGTACAGCTAAGAGTTAATTCCTCTAATAAACAGTACCTACAAATCAAAATTAAAAAATACTTTTCACAGAAAAGGAAATATGAAGATCTCAAACAAAAAAAAGATGGTGAACTTCATAAGAGAAATCCAAAGTAAAACTAAACAAGGATTTTTTTTTTTAAAGATTTATTTATTGGGCCTCCCCTTGTGGCGCAGCGGCTGAACACTGGGTTGCGAGGCTGCCCGCAGCCTCTGCAGCACCAGTTCGATCCCTGGCCACCGGCGAGGGTCCCACAAAAAAAAAAAAAAAAAAAAGAAGAAAAAAAAAAAAAAGCAAAAAAAAAAAAAAAGCTTTATTTATTTATGCATGTAAGAACTGGGCCAGAGGTGGGGGTGTGGGGTGGTGAGAGGACTCACAGTGCCAAGAGTGAGGGGCAGAACAGGCAGATCTACTGAAATACACAGCCAAGGGGAGCAGTGGGCAAGTCAGGAGCGGTCTGCTGCGCCAGGTGGGTTACCTCCCTGGCCAGGGATCAAACTCATGCTGCAGTGGCTGAGGATAGCTTCATAGTGCTGCGTCTTAACCCCCTGCGCCACCAGGGAGGCCCAAGGATATGATTTTTAATAATCATAGTGGTAAAAATCTAAAGTTGGTAACATACTATGCTATCAAATCAGAGTAAAGATTTCTGATTCAAAACTGCATCTGAGTTTCTGAAGACTGCATCTTCTAACTTTCCTGTAAGATACTTTTGCAATTGCAGGAAACAATACACTGTTTCTTACCAAATCAAAGGTAGACAACTGAAAAAATGACCAGAATCACTCTTCACAGAGAACTTTCCTGGCCACAAGAGTGGGTTAAATAAAATTCCTTAGTATACACTCCCATAGGACCTTATATTTT